TCTATTATAAGGATAGATTTAAAAATASTGAAATATTCAAATTTTTCATTACATTGGTTCCACAAAAATGGATCAATTTAATTGCTTCMYGATYGGGTAAACCTARCCTCCGGAGGCATCACAAAGAATCAYSGGCTTCCTGTCTTTTTKGGGRGTCAAAAGAGGTAGAATGGGGGCGAGAAARTGGGAGCGTGTGATTCCTTTCTCGTCATTAGTCCCTAGTGGCCAAGATGACCGTTACAAAGGAAGCCCAAAGGAGGAAAAAGGAGTTGCCTGGGGAGGAGGCTAGGTAAAAACATAATGCATATTAGAAAACTCGTTAACACAGAACCACAAGGTATTTTGCTCAGGTCTACATTAGGCATGATTTTTCATGGAAATAACCCTAAAGAGTACTTACTATTTTGACAAGTTTTATTAGTTTAAATTCAAATTGGATCTTGATGGGTATTCGGTTATTGCCCTTCACTTCAGGGCGAACAATTTTGTCAGAATTTTTCAGCATCATCTCTCTCAGTTGGTGTTCGTAAGAATCATTTGTTCTTCCCTCCGATAGGTTTATGAACACTGCAAGAGAAAAAATATAGGTAAGAGCAAGAACAAGAGCAGACGAGCAAGAGCAGACGAGCAAGAGCAGACGAGCAAGAGCAAGAGCAAGAGCAAAAACATGGTTTTCCTGTGTTTGCTCTATAAGTTGTGCGCATTTTTCAAGATGACTCATTGACATTGAATTGATATATGAAAGTAAAAAATTAAGAAAACTTGAGGATTACTATACTATTGTCTCATTTATGAAGGGTATGTTATTTTCGGAGTTCATCTTTATTATTTAATCATTAATTACTCGATACAAATTGATTTTTTGCTTGTTTTCCTCTTGCCAAGATTTGAAGTGAAAGTTTGTACAGGTGTATTACTTGACATTTTTTTCCTAGTAAACACTTGAGCAAAGGCGCCAACAGAAATGTAAGGAATTTGTTAGGGATATCAGAGTCAAATCAGACAACCCAATTTTCTTAATGATCGAGTTGTAATCTCTAGTCACAGCATGTCTCTAAGGTCTGAAAATAWTCTTCGCCCCAATCGTGTGCAAACCAATAGATTCTAATTGTAACTGTCAAATTCCAAATGTAATAGTGTTTTTTGTTCCTTTCCGTTTATATGTCAAGTCTGTAATACAGTATTATCATTACTGCTATTGGCCTTAATGAACAGTTAGTATTAGAATTAGAATTTATAAACTACACTTTAACCGTTTGACTTTAAAACTGTTTAAACTGCCTTTAAAAGGTTTTAAACCCTTTTMATAAGGGCAAAATGTAAAAAAATGGAAATTCAGGCAAAGAATGTATGAACAGCTGTGGCAACTACTTCAGTATATCAGAGATTCTATATTATGTATGATTGACTCAGGTTGTTGACGAAATTTACTTGTATGTATTTGTAGTCGATCCAAGTTATAAAGAGTTTCGTCGTGAAGTTTGCCAAAAAATATCTCGCAATCTGGGCGTGCTCAAAAGCTTTAGAGCGAGCTATAACAAGCAACTTTGAAAAATTAACCWGCAAAATAAGAAAGTGCATGATAAAATGTGACAATTCTGGCTTTGAACATTCTTACCAAGAAGAAGAGCTGCAACGTTGATCAAATGGAGCAACTGCATTTTTACTCGTATTCTTCCGTGGATTCTTCTATAATGGCCTAAGCATAAGCTTTAAATCCATACAGGCCATCTGGTCAACTTTTATTCTTTTTTAAGCCAGTTCGAAGGAGGAGTCACAGCTGGTTACTCCAAGTTAWTAATATTGTTTTTCATCTTGGAATTCAATTGAAAGTCACAAGATATGCCGTCATAAAATAATAGAAAGTAAATCAGCATCAAACTCACTACAAGAGTCAAACATATTTATTCCATACACCTGCGAGGGCCTTTTCATTAGCTCCATGTGAGCATTGCGTTCGCCATAGTAGCGCTTGTCAATAGGAATGTTGTTAGAACATTGTGATGTACTTGTTATTTCAATATTACCATGGAAATGAGTAAATATTTTGCGTTTTCGTCGCATAACTAGTGATAAGAATTTCAAAATATTTGTTATTTTATTTTTATTTATTTGTTTTTTTGACTGATCTAACATCATTTGTCACTAATTTATATTATTATTAAGAATAAAGGTAAAATATTATAAAAGGTATAGAGGATATTACATGGGCGCGTGGAGATACTTATCTTCGAGTGTTGAAAAGATCTCTCACGAGTGAGCGTAGCGAATTTTCAACACGAGAAGATAAAATTCATATCTCCAAGCGACCATATAATATTCTGTTAATTTATCATATAATTACATATGAAAGCAAATTATGTCGTAAAATACATTTTTTCTTGCTTTTRCTATATAGAGAAACCTYTAATGTGTTATTTTCACTAGTGAAGATATCAATTTTACGAAATGGAGAAATATAGGTATTTCATAGATAATTATATGATAAAAAGTATTATTAAATGACAGCTTCTGTGATAATGATACACACGAAAAAAACAGACGAATATTTCTGTCTATTATTGTCTAAGTTGCGCATTCCATTTTTCAGAACTGGCTGGCCAGACCCAGAGAAAATGTCATTATATATCATTCCCATTTAGGTAGGAAATTCAAATTTTCRAATTCTATCCATTATTCTACAGAAAACCTCGAAATGACTGAAAAATGACAAAAAGCATTATATACCTCTAAATAGAGTGGACTAGCCGGCCAGTTCTGCCTAAATGGAAAGCACCCTAATAGATACACACACACGTTTGTTTTACTTGCGGAATTATAATTGATAAGGACCATGCCCTACCAGTTTCCCAACTATTTCTWAAAAATATAATGTGCAAAAATTATTTCAGTAAAARCGATTCTGTTTCCTTGCTCGCTCAGACTTTCTGCATGCAAGTACTGTACTTTCTCTGTACTAAGAGAGATTTTGGTGGTTTTATTATTGCAAATATGGTCGAAATGTCGAAATATTGTAATGTGGTGCTATGCATTTCTGGTTTGTGACATTGATACACCCAACGTACAACCGTACATCAAAATTACAACAAGAAAAAAGAGCCAGAAAAAAATTTGGTCAATCTTCTCTGAAATTGGTRACCAATGATTATCGTCTTCAACACTCGATTCATCGCGATTAATTTGCTCACCAAACGAATCATTGTCAGTTACTTCTTCAAGCTTTATTTCAGTGTCAAAAGCTTTAGGACGGTTGGATTCAGAAGGGGTGGTCTTATTCATTTTGGAGGGCTTCATCAAGCACTGGAAGCAACGAGATGGGTTTCCTTTGGCGTGGTAACACCTTAAAGCGAAAATAGTGGCCATGAGTGCTAAGCCAATCACAATCATCGTACACATCATTAGCAAGCCTAAAACTGGAATGGACTGCGAGGACTCGGGAAGAGAATCTGGAACAATCAGCAAGAACACCATCATGCCAAGAAGGAGTGTGGTGACAAAGCCGATCCTCTCCCCACTCTCTGGCGGGATCAAGAAGCTAAAAATGGTCAGGAACGCAAGAACAGAGCATGGTGCAACCAAGTAGAAGAGATGATATTCAAATCGACGCCCCATGTCTATTGTATAAGTAATTTGACTGAAGTTGTAAGGACAACAGTTTCCGAAGCTGGCCTCAGCGAGGGTAACTTCAACCACTTTGTTGATGTGCCAGTTTCCGCTTTCCTCGAAATTTTCTGAAAATCGAAATGCATGACTGACTGGAGATTGATTAGATCAGAAACATGATGACCATAAAAGGGAGTGTGAACATATTGATTCACGTGTTTCTCTGTAAGTTTGGTTAAAGAATTGACTCATTAAATGACTGAAGACTATTTTTTATAAAAGATCGATACTGAAAAAGTCTTCATTAATAGATCCTTTTCACGTTAGATAGTGTGCATTTGGGTATTAGAAAAAGAAAACAGGAGAGTCTGGTTCTACTACCTAGGGAAATCCTATATCATGTAACTGTACAAACCTCCTTTGTCACTCTTTGTCTGAAATTTCTCAATTTTGAGCAGGTGAGATCCGTATGTAATTGAGCCAAATGTCAAATTACATAGCTGATCATCAAAGGGCCAGGAACT